GTCGGCCTGTTCTGCTCCCCACTCTGTCTCTGGTGAAAACTCTCACCACCCCTGCACCTCTGGCCTGTACCCCAGTTCTTATATGAATAAACAAATAAAATTTTTAAAATGCCTTTAGATCATTCCCTAATTTAGTTTAATCAGAAATGGATGGAATTTTTTCTCAGTGCAAAGGGTTTGGAGAAGTAGACAAGTACCAGCTCGAGTTGTCCCAGTAGTCTTTGATCAGTTACCTTCCCTCTGTGACTGCTTGGTCTTTGCTCCCGAATATACTACCCTCAGGAGTGAGTTTTTAATCTTCTGAAGACTTCCAGATTCAGGAAGCCTTGTCTTTAAAGCCTTTTCATGAAGGTGCTGTTGGGCTCCCTTCACCGTTCGCACTTTGCTGCTAAGTAAAGGTCATAGCTAAGAACCTGTGAAGCAGTCGGTCCTTGCTGTTGGTGCTAGGGTCATTTCATGCAGTGTATGGAGAGCATTTGCATCAGTGGGGGGGGAGACTCATCCAAAGATTGGCAGCCTGGCTGCGGAGGGCTGCTCCCTTGCTTCAGAGCACAAGCTTGTAGGATATTGGTCTGGAGCCCGAGCATTACCTAACTGCCCTGTCTTCTCCATCCTGCTTCTTTCTCCCCTTCCTGGTCCCTCCCAGAAGTACTTTGTCAATGGGCATTTAACCCCTGACTCCTTGGCTCAGTGTCTATTTCAGAGAGAGATCAAACTAAGTCACACTTTTCCTCCTGAATCCATGTCTCCTGTTTCATCCGGAAGAATCTAGAACCAAATGTGAATACTCCTATATAGATTATAGTGAAGGGAAACTTTAATCCCCTTCTCAGGTTTAAGGAGAAATTATTAACAATTTTGCATTCTTTGCAGAGCTGTAGGCATGGATCCTGAGGGTGACAATAAAAGATGTTTCTGGTAAATCCAGGGCTAAAAAGGGGGCAAGTCTATGATATGAATGCAGCTCTTCATCGAATACACCAGGATTCCAGGTGTTCCATGAGGTATACAACTTGCATCTGCTCATTTCATCTTTATGATGAGCCTCTGAGGTCATTAAAATTAATACTCCACTGTAAAGACAGGGAGACCAAGGCATCTAGCATTTTAGTAGTATGCAAGACCCTATGGTTAATAAGTGGCTCCACCCATTTCATAAACAAGTTTCCCGAGTGTGGGGGAGCATCCAAGCCCCATTGTGTAGCTTCAGAGTAATTTGAGATTGATATCAAAGAGCAAATCACTAACTGTCATTTAACCTGGACAGGATTGCTGGTAGCATAAATGTGGCCCAGACAAGCTCATTGTCTCCATTGAGCAAAGAGACCATATTCCTGCTTCTTGCCTAGTGATCTTGCCTGGTAAACATGGGTGGGTTGGGGTCCGTAAGGGTGGAAACTGTCATTCACTGTTTCTCTGGGAACAAAGCATGCCAGACATTGTAGGGAGAGGCCCAAGAAACATTTCAAAAAGCTCCATGGAACTAGACAACCTCTCAATCCATTTATCAAAGTGTCTTCAGTTCCCGATTCAAGGTAGATGAAGCAATAATAAATTTGCAAAGAAAGTTAATCTGTGTCCAAAGCATTTTAGTAAATTAAAAAAGGGGGGAGGGTTGGCTGCAAGGGGGATGTATTGGTTCTTGCCAACTCCTATTTGACTTACTGTCTCCTTGATAAGTCCTCCTTGCTCTTGTGTTTTTGGATGGAATAATCCGTCAGTTAATCATTTTCCGGAAGCAGGACGATGCACTTTAGCTAATGCAGTTCTCCGTTTCTTTTAGAATTCTAATTATTTAAAGAGGCGTCCCAACCCCTCCCTAATCAAGAAAGCCTTCCCACTAGCCATCGTTCTTTATTTCCCCAGAAAATATCCCAGTACTCTTCTTGCCCCTTCATCCATTTCCAACCTCATACATTTTATCCAAGGTTAAAAAAAAAGGAAACCCCTTTCCCTGATCACTTTTGAGCTTTTCTCCCCCAGGAGGGTGAGAGACTAACCACCAACACCATCACCCCAACCAACCCCCAGCAAGTAATTGGCAGGAACTATGCTCTCTGGCTCTATGGATAGATTTTGTTATTTTTATTTGTCAGCCAAAATGGTGGCTTCTGTCTCTCTCAAGGAGAGTGCTTCACAATAGCTCAGTGTTCTGGCATCACGCTGGGATAAACATACTATTAGGAACTCTCACAAAGGCCCCAAGATAATTGTGAAGGGACAGTTACCGAAAATGAAGCACCCAGCCCTGAACCCTCCTCTACGCCCCATCAGTAACGCCATTAAAGCTGTCAGATTGTCAGCCCACTGGAGGTATTTATGAAATCAATATACAATCCTGCAGATGGGTAGCAGCAGGATTGTTAGCTGGAGAAGAGAGGCTCAATGAAAAATAAAATTAATAAAATTTACAAGCAGATTGTCATGGGGAACAGTTAAATTCCCTACAATCTACTGTTTTGCTCAGTTGTGGTAGAATAAGGCCACTTGGGGAGGGGACACGACAGCTGGGTTGTAAACGAAGCTCCTAAAGGAAGAGCAGTTCAGCAAGAAACCCAAGTGGTTTCCCACCAAAGGCAGGATTTTGCCTGTGTGAGCGCTTTTCTGGAAGGACTTCCAGCAACATCACCAGACTTTTCTGCTTAAATATTGCTCTTCTCTCTTCATCCACTATTATTGCAGACCAGAACATATCTACAATTGCTGAGGGTGGGGGGTTCCCATTATGTTTTGGGTCCCTTAAAATTTATGTGTTACTGGAACCTGTGGCCCTACTATGGCTTCCGGGCAGGGTTACAGCTAACAGTTCTAGACCTCACTCCAGTTTGCACAACTTCTTGACCCTGATTATCATGAGCATCCATTTCCCAGAAGTTGCTGGGGGCTGTTTCCCAGAGCGGCCAAAGATAGCAGCCCAGCCTGGGAGGGACTGGGAGTCCCAGAGACTAGCCCTCGGTAGGCAGCAAAGACTGGGACCACTGTGTCTGCTGCAGCCTTGGGTATGGCCCAGATGCCTGTGGAAATCACATTAGTGGGATGACAGGAGCTGGGCCCCCTTTTCCTGGAGGCTGATGGAGAGCAGAGGAGTGGCCTCGGTGACACTGCCTGACCTCTGCTGTCATCGTGGGCTTTGTTCAGTGCCCTGGCTCCAGGCTGGAGCCCTGCTCATTGAATCAGGCCCAGCCAGGAGAGTCTGCACTGGGACTCACTGTGCATAGATTTACTTACATCAGCTGTGGGCGGAAGAAACTGGATTGCATTTGGGGGGCACCCTGGCACTTAGAAGCCAGTAGTATTTACAGCTGCACCCTGCTCCATGCTCTGATCCTGGCTTTGGGCCTACCTGTGGCCCAGAGAATCCCCGAGTGTGTTTCAGCCAGCAGCTCATGGCAGCTCATTCCAGCAGGTGACAGACGCCTCTCTCCCACGCACACTGTCTTTCCAGCCTCTTTGCAAAATATTTGTTTGGATGGTCCTGGTTTCAGTAGTTGTTGAGCTCTGCCTTAAAATCTATTTGAAGTCATCATTAGCTGTTGCTGAGGAAAATCAGTGTGGAAGTGTACATTAGTATTCATTGTCTCTGGACAACTCAATAATGAAAGATGTGTTGACGTGTTCTCCCAGAGTGTTCTCCTTTTGGGACTTTGTAACAAGGAAGTCACTAGACAAATGTCCCCCAGAATTTGTGGATGGAATATTCATCCTTTGTCTCTTTAAATGGCAAATAAATGAATACCCAACAATGTGGGATCATAGCCACCCACACCTTTGATTGATATATGACCACTACAGATGTTGGTGTAGACTACTGTTAATGACATGGACAGATGTCCTCAGTATAACTGAAAAAAAGATTTTTAAGAAATTGTACTAGGACATCATATTGGTGACATATATAGTACTCATAAGTGGTAGCAACAGCTATTTCTGGGTAGGTAAATTTTTAGTATCTTGTGTGTATGTATATGTATATATCTTTTATGATCTTCAGAAAGCATGAGGAGCTGATTGTGGCTCTAGTCTCATCTCTTTGCACACCCCTCCTCCCACACCATTCTCTTTGGAGCTTTTCAGTCGGCAACTGTGCACAATTGACACCAGTTAAGGCAGAACATGAGGTTTTTGCAGGAACACCCTGCAGGCCTAATGGGTCTTTAGGGATTGATGTCTCACTGAGATCCCAAGCAGGTTGAAGTTGAATGAAAGCAAGCGTATGTATTTGGTCTATCAAAAAATAAAAGCAAACTGAAAACTGCGAGGGTAGTTGGAAAGGCAATTGAGGTTTTGGGGATGCTTAAAGAAAAACCTGTGACAAAACTTAGTTTTGAGCCACTTACAAGACCTGATGCATTTCCCTTACCCTCTGTCCTCAATGCAACAAATGTTACATGGGGGAGGGGGAGGAGAGGGGAGGGACAAGGAGGCAGCAGAGAGACCCCATCTTGCATGGATTTGTGGAAATGCTATTTTGAATTCATCAGTGCCTGTCCCTGAAAAGATCCAGGCAGTCCCCTGGGGTCTCTGGTTCTCCAGGATCAGCCTAGAAGGTTATCCCCCATCAAAAATCAGAATGGCCCAGTTCCATACCAATTCCAGATGACAAAAGCAGAGGTCCCTAAGAGATAGAAGATTGAGTGGTGTTGACCCTGCTCTTGGGGGAGGGACTAAGTGGGGAGTGGGTTAGAGGTCCTCTGTGGGAGGTTGCAAAACAGAGACTTGGATGGAGTGTGTGAAACAAATAGCCCAGCCTTTTGACTCGTGGCCTGGAGGTGCAAGACCACCCACAGAGCTCGCCTGAAGCAAGTGGCTCCGCCTGGTAACCATTGCAGAAAAGGCCACACTTGAAGGACAATGAGAAGGCTTGTAGCAGCTTGGGGCCTGAGACTAAAAGATCCCCCTAGCCCATCCGACTGCAGAGGGTTTTGTTATCATAATGAGATGCAAATAAAGCAGGCCTTGTTCTCTCTTTAACTAACTTCCTGTGCCTCTTCTCTTGTTAGAGACCTGAGTGAAAATCAGATCCTGGGCATCCCGAGGAAGGCTTTCCGAGGCATCGCTGACGTGAAGAACCTGTAAGTGATGTTTTTGTGGCTTTTGTTGCAAATGTAGGTGGCTTTTTGGCTAGAACCTAGAGGAGAGAGAGCACAGGAAGGTGGCATCACCTCACTGTAAGCTGTATTGGTGCAGGTACCTCTGAGACAGATTGGAGGATGTGGTTAGTGGTTAGTGCTTTCTAGAGAGCACACATGCAATGCCAGGACAGCTCCCAGACTTGCTCTTTCCTAAATATTCAGCTATTCGGTGGAGTCCCTGAACTCGGTCAGAGGCTGGCCCCGCAGTTGCCTAGCCTGTGACCTAGGACTCAAATGCAGCATTCCCCTAGGTCATTGTCTTTTACAAAATGGAGATGACTGCTTTGTGTGTAGATTGTATTTAGCAAGTGTGCAGTAAATGTGTGCAGTATTGATGGTGATGGTAACAATGATGATAAAGGTCACAATGGTGAAAATGTCTGTTATTAAATAGCATCTTGTGAGAGAGCACTGGGACCTGCAGCCCAGGATCTGGGCGAGATGTTGCAAGATCCACTACTCTAGGCACTTGCTGGGTTTGTTTTTGAATAACTGTCGATTGGCTGAAAATGTTTTACAAAATAGTCAACAGGCTCATGTTCCTGTTCACTCAGTTGTCTCCTAGTTTTAACAGCTTAAATAAGTGTAGTACAGGATCCAAACCAGGCAGCTGACAGTGGTTCAACACACAGACCTATCCTGCAGATTCCTCGGCTTTGCAAGCAGCCTCTGTGCGTGCGCCAGTGTTGATGCACCTTTAGCACGTGCACATCACAGTCGCCATTGTCACTATTGCTGCAGAATGGTTCTGTGACTGCGTTTTTGAACTTGGCAAATAACCTTGATCATTTCCCACCTGGCCTCCATTGTTCGCTACTAGTCTTCCCCAGCCACACCTCTGTCCGTGTGGCCTGGGCAGGTGTTTGGACAGGGGCATAGGAGAAAGGGCTGGTTTTTGTGTCTGCTGTCCTCTTAGTGGACTCAAATTTTAGCGGTCCTTTGCCCTGTAAGAATGGCAGGAATTTCAGTGTACTAGGAAGCGGTTGATGGCTTCCAGACCCAGGCTGTGTCTGCTTCCCTGGTGGTGGAGAAATCAATGGAAAGTTTTTTTAATGTGCAATAAGTGGTCCGAGGCTTCTTGAATGAAGGAAGCAGGGGGGAGGGAGGACTTGGCAAAGGGACTCTTGGGCAGTAGGCTGCCTACTGCATCTTCAGGGAACTTTTGCCCAGATGGTAGCAGGAGAACAGGTGAAGCAAGAAAAGCCTCAGAGAAAGTGACTGTGCACAAGGACCCAAAGCAAGAGATACTACATAGCATTCCAGAACAGTGGGCAAAAGGGGGAATACAGAGATCCTTTAAATCCCCATCTGTCCGCAGTGAGAAAATTTAGGCCCAGGAAAGGAATTGACTGACTAGCTCAATTCAACCAGCTTCTTGCTAGCCAGCCCCAAATTAATGTACGTATAAAAAAGGGCATATTTGCCTGATCTCATGGCTTTTATTTAAATGGACCAGGTAGTAAAAAAGCGTAACATAGTCATGGCTGAGCAGGGCTGCATCATTAGCAACTACCTCTCTGATTCCCAAGAAAGGCATTAAATGTCTCGGTGCTCCTCACTGGCAGCTAGGGCTTAGAGGGTTATTGCTGTTTCCCGTAACACCTCTAACCTCACAAAGGCCCAAGGACCTAAAAGTTTCAAGGAGCTGCAAACACCGACTCCTGTGTCGCTGAGGATGGACCTTCAGGAGGCTCTCCTCCTCCAGACCAAGCAAGCAGGTCTTTCTCCTGGGCTCCACAAGTCTCTTCCCTTTGGTTTGTGCCCAGTAGGTGGAGTGGGGGTGGAGAAGGAGATGTGTGGGGAGAAACCCCTTGCTTAAAGCAGGATGAATTAACCAGGCCGGCGTGTCAGTGAGAGAATTTTCTGTGATAGACTGATCCTCATGAAATCGGGCCAACGAGTGACTGACTATGCAGAGAAAAGGGTCCTCAGAACCAAAAGAAGAAAGCCAGCTTCAGGTGGTATAGCTGAGGTTTGGATTGGCTTCAGCAATTGCTGTGTGTGTGTGAGGTGCCCAGCTGGTCACACACTCTAGTCTGTTGCTGTAGGTGCATTGCTTGACACGTATGAACTCTACTATAAAAATGAGAATAAAAATTGTACCTAACCTCCCAGGGTTTTTGTGAAAGTTAATAAAATAATGCATATGGATAAGGCACTGCTATGCCTGACACATGGAATGTATTTAGAACAGCCTGTTATTGCTGCTTTACCCCTTGATTCTTACCGGAAAGACGTTAGCTGGGCCCGAGGGACAACTGGAATCCCACAGAATAAACAAGGCAAAGTGTGGGCAAAGTATGGGGTTAGACTTGTGTACCCTCCAGAGGAGACATCTCATGGAGGTGAGGGGATGGCAACGCAGAAGAATGGGGCATGAGGCTCGGAAGAAAGTGAAGCCAGCACAGGTGCTGAGAACTGAGAATATGGGTGGCTTCCAGCCTGTGGAACGTCAGGATGAAAACATTTATTCTGGGAATGGAACCTAGGGCAGGAGGAGGTGAAAAAGGAAAGGCCACGGGCGGCGTCTCAGTTCCAACATGAGGAGCCAGGTTTTCTCTTTGGAGAGCAGGAGGGCAAAGGGGAGTCCAAAATGAAAGGCCAAAGGAGACCAAGTCCACAAAAGCAAGTCAGTCAGTGAGTTATTTACTAGACGCCATGAAAAAGAAGAGAAGAATGATAGGTTCCAAGTACAGGTAAAATAGAAAACAATGGCAAATTCTCACAGCCATGCATTCATGCGTCCATCAGAATATTGTCTGAGCTAAGTGTGAGTTCTGGGGCAGACTGTGGAAAGTGAGATGTATACATCTGTGAACCCTGCCTTCTCATTGCTTCTTCTCCGTGGGGATTGGAAAATCTGGAGAAAGAACCAGGCTGGCAGGTCAGGAATTGTGCTCTAATCTTTCCAGGATTGATGCCAAGTCTTCCATAGGTGGTGTGAAGGGAGGAAGGAACAGATATAGATGGTTTGAGAATCTTCTATGTGTTGGAAGTTGATGAACCTGACACCCCATCTTGTTGTTCCTGCCAGTTAAATGTGGTCTCTGGGCCACAGCTATGACTTTGGGCCTCAGTTTCCATGGTTTTAATAAGAGGGAGTGCAGCTAAGTAAAATGGCCTTAAGAGAAAATTTCATGTGAATCATTGGAAATATAGGACCAACACAGAGGAGCAAATCCAGGCAGGAGAAGCTTCTGGGTGAGGTGATCAGTGAAGCTGTGCACACATCTATACATGCAAACAACAAACTATCCTTGGAAAGGAAGTTCCCGTAACTTTTTAAGGGAATGTGCTTCCTCCCATCAAGACCCCAAGGGCCCACCTGTGGACGGTCTCTCCTATGAGGGAGGAGCTACAAGTGTTCAATGTCTTGGCCCTGACAAACTGTGTTTGAAAACTATCTCCCAGTGTCCTCCTCTTCTACACCCCCTTGAGGGAATATAACACCATCCTACATTTACCTTCAGTCAAATAGGAGAAGATAAACGATTGGAAGTGGTATGTAAAATGACAGCTTCTTTCTCTCCTTGATAATACCTTCCATTTAGGGTTGAAAAATCAAGAATTGTGTGTGTGCGTGTGTGATTTTGTAGTCTTCACTTGGATTTGAAAGAAGAGACTGGGTCCCCATTCCCCAGATGGTAACACTGAATCCTGATCAGGGCATGCAAATGGCAAAGGTCAGCAGACACCATTAGGCCTATGCCTCCCCACCTCACCCGCCCTTAGTGAGACATTCACTATCTCAGGTGCTCTCTGGAGACATTCTGTCCACACAGATTCCTCCCCACCAAGCCGCACCAGTGCCAGAAAGGGCAACAGAACCAGGATTGTCGCATCTGATTCTCCTGGGCAGGTAATGCATGTGCCACTTGTATCAGAGCCTGGAGAGAAGGTGCAGGTCCTTCTCTCCTATGGGTCTGCAGCGTCTCCAGTATGAAGCTGGTGCTGAAGTTGGGCACCCTGCCCCCACTGGCAGCGAAGGAAGTTCCCTAATTGCCTCCTGCTCCTCCCAGGAGAGAAAGTAATTAGCTACGGACACCACTCCTGAACTTCTAGCAGCTGGTCTCACACTCCACTGCCTGTCTGGAACGGGGCGAGGGCTGTGTTTAGGGATAGATGGGCAGTTAGATGGGCAAGTTGATCCGGAAAAAGGGGTGCTCAGAGAGCTGACCTGTCCACAGACTTAACATAAAGTCCACATGTCCTCATTAAAGGTCTACTGGATGCAAATGCTGTGCCCATGCTAGATAGAGACACAATGAGAAGAGAGGAGCAGACAGACAGAAATGGGGTGGGGCGGGTGGAAGAATGAATAATTGGAAAGACAGAGATAGGAAAAAAAGAAATGAATGGGGGTGGGGAGGGGTAGAGAGGTAACAACCACAATCCAACAAAGCATAATAAGAAAAAGACAAAAACCAATATAAAAAAAAAATGTCCCCTTGTCCTATCTTTCTCAGCAGTTATGTTTTCCTCTGTTTTTCAGTTTCTATTTGCGAGAACTCTGTAGGACATGCATTCCAGAAGGGAAAATCAATAACCCCTGTCTCTGCCAGCTAGCAGAATTTGGAATTGACGGTTTCAAAACAAAGCTGGGCAGGCGGCCTTTGTGTTCTCTGCTTAGTCTGTGTTGCTGCGCTGCCCGTGTCTGCCCTCCCGCTTCCTGAGATTAATGAGGGCTGTCTCTGGGCTGTGAGCACGCAGGATCTTGTGTGAGGCTGGGGGGGGAGGCGGAGCACCGGTGCTTTGGTAGCGTTTCTGTCTGCTAATCTCAGCAGCCACGCATGCTGTCACTGGACCTGGACCAGTGACCAGGCTCCCGCTCATGAAATGCAAGACTCCACGTGGTCCAGGTCCTCTTTCATTCATGTCAGGCTTCCCAGGCTCCATTCTGATCTTTGAACACTCAAGGTCCTCCCTGCCCCAGGACCTTT